AACTAAATCCCCGGCCCTGAATTTCTTTTTTTAATCAAATGTTTCTTTTTTAAAAATTTATATAGTTTACTTCTTTAATTGGTACATTTTAGGTATACAATTCGTTTACATTTATCATTGGGTGTTTGTACCTATACGTGATATATCTTGGTTCTTATTTTGTTTTCCCCATTTCAAATGTTTCTTGTATGTAGCATATTGTTGGATCTTGCTTCTTGATCCATTCTGCCAGTCTGTTTCTTTTGATTGGTGATCTGAGACCATTTACATTGATGGTTATACCTGATATGTATTGACTTATCCTTTTCATGTTATTTTCCTGTTGTTGGTCCTCCCTCTCCCATTTAATTTCTTCCCTTGCCTGGTGTATTCACTCTGTTGAGGTTCATGGAGTTGTAGTCCTTGTTATCTCTTTTTAGAATGTCCTTCAGCACATGTTGGAGAGCTGGTTTTGTGGTCATGAATTTCTTCAGGTGTTCTTTGTCACGTAAGTATCTTGTTTCTCCATCAAAAAAATTTTTCTGAGGGCCAAGGATTTAGCTCAGTGGTTCTGGCACCTGCCTCACAAGCTCAAGGCCCTGAGTTCGATCCTGGGTACCAAAAAAAATTTTTTTTTTCTGAGACATGGTCTCTCACTATGTATAGTTCAGGCTGGCTTTGAACTCACTATGTAGCCCAGCTGGGCTCAAACTCATGACAATCCCCCTGCCTCTGCCTCTTGAGTGCTAGGATTACAAGCATGTGCCACCCATGCCTGGCTATTCTCCATCAATTTTTTTTTTTTTTTTTTTTTTTAGCGGTACTGAGGATCAAACTCATGACCTTACATTTTCTTTTTTGGTTGTTTTTTTTTGGTACTGGGGATCAAACTCGGGTCCTAGTGCTTGCGCAGCAGGCGACGAAACCACTGAGCTAAATGCCCGGCCCATGACCTTACTTTTTCAAGGCAGATGTGGCACCACTGAGCTAAATCCCTGGCCCTCTCCTTCATTTTTGTTTTTTTTGTTTTTTGTTTTTTGTTTTTTGGCACCAGGGATCAAACTCAGGTCCTTGCGCTTTCAAGGCAGGTGGCGGAACCACTGAGCTAGATCCCCGGCCCCCTCTCCATCAATTTTGAAAGAGTTTTGTGGGGTACAGCAATCTGGGTCGGAGGTTGTTCTCTTTTAGGACTTGAAATACTTCACTCCAAGCTCTCCTTGACATGAAGGTTTGTATTTAGAAGTCTACTACGAGTCTGATAAGCTTGCCTTTATAGGCAATTTGTTTCTTTTCTCCAACAGCTTTTAATATTCTGTTCTTGGTTGAATTTCTGGAATCTTGACTATTATATGCCTTGGTGTAGATTTTCTTTTGATCATGGTTAATTTAAGTTCTATAAGCCTCCCTTATCTGTATGTCAAATTCTTCTTCCCTGCTGAAGTTTTTTCCCATTACTTCTTTTTTTATGTCATTTGTGCTATCTCCTGCTTTTTCATTGACTCTGATCAGTCTTATGTTATTCTCCTTTGCATCATGTAGCAGCTGCTGCATTGATTTTTCATGGTCCCTTGCTATTTTTTGTTTGTTTTTTGGTTTTGGTACTGGAGATTGAACTCAGGACCTTGCGCTTGCTAGGCAGGCGGCGGAACCACTGAGCTAAATCCCCGGTGCAAGAGATCTTTCTTTTCATGATCGCTGACTACAATCCTGTCTTCTGTATCTGATATTCTGTCCTCACAGTGGTTCATTCTGCTGAGAATACTTTCAATGGAGTTTTTAATCTCCTGGATATTTGTCTGAATTTGTTTCATGGATTCCATTTCTTTCCTATGTTGGGTGTTCATGGTTTCCATCATTTTCCTAAGCTCTTCTATTTTTTTTTTTTATCTGTATCTGCTTAACAGTCACTAATCACATCTTTCATCACTGTCAACATCTCTGTAGTTACCTGAGAAACTATTTCTGATTTGATTTTTTTCTAGAGGCTCATTCATTTGCTTTGTTACCACTTCAGAGGGTCCAGGTCGGTGGGTTTCAAATTGTTCCACCTCATCGTCCTCTGGGTTTGCCTTTGGGGAGGCTGGAAGTCTGGGGTTGCATCTTGCTTAAGTGTCCTCTCATTTTCTTTCTTTCTTTTTTGTTTTTAGTTTAATTCCTGGGTTGATGCTTGTAGATAGCATATGACAAGTAGATTTACTGCTAATATTTAGAACCCTTAGGAAATGACTACTTCTCAGAGATGTCTTCCAGGTGTAACTGGCTTTTGGGTTTTGAGTCTGTTGCAAGATCCTCCCTCTTCAATTTATAGGGGATGAGAAGTTGCTGCTTATTTGGCCTAGCCCCTGCTTCTTTGGCAGCGGCCTATAGTATTGTTTATGACCCTTAGGCAATCTCAGTCTTGGTGTACCAGGAAGAGCAACTGATTAGAACAATTATGTCACCTTGGCTAACACAGTACAGTCAGCAATAACAATAGCATCAAACACAGCCTAGAAAACAACAAACTGTGGTAACTATTGATTTGCCACCAGGAACCGTATGAACTAGATTTGTGGTTATATAACAAAATCTAAAACAAACCAGAAGATTGTATACAGTAAATGTGCCCTCAGTATGGTGATTTTACCCTCAAAGGAGAAAATTTAAAAGGGGTTGGGGGGAAAATGGAGAAATAGAAGAAGAGGAAGAGATTTGAAGCAAGGCTGGAGGCCTAAGAAAGATTATGTGAATTTTGGGAAACTGGTGAAGACAGGAGAGAAAGAGAGAAGGAAGAAATAAAAATAGGAACAGAACAGAACAACAACAAAAAATTAGAAACAATGTTCATACTTATATGAAAACAAGAACAAACACTCAAGAAAAAAGAAAAGCAAAGAAAACAAGACAAAAACAAGAAAAGGAAAAAAGAAAAAGAAATGTCTGCTTCAAAGTGTGTTTCTGCTGTCACTGGTAGAGTGGGCAGAGTCCAGATCCGTGTTGATTATTCCCAGCAAGCCAGCTGTAGATTCACATTGGGGTAGTGGATAATCCTAGCAAGCCTAAACCTTTAATTCTGTGGCTCAGGTTGCTTTTTTTCTTTTCTTTACAGTACCAGGAATCAAACTCATGACTTTGCACTTGCCAGGCAGACATGGTGGCACTGTGCTGCATCCCTGGCCCATCAGGCTGGTTTCAGACTGTGAGGCTGGAACCTGATTTACTCAGCCTGCAACACTCTGTTTGCCTCCTCCTGGCTTGAATTTGGCTCCTTGACCTCTTGCAGACTTGAACTCAGTTCCGCCTCACCCTGCTGGAGCCAGCCCACAGCTGCTCTGAATTCTGAGCTCAATTGGCCCCTCTCAAAGATGTACTACTGGCTAACTGTACTCTCCTGGGGGATGTCCGAACCCTAATAACTCGGCAGCTACTGCAGTCTGCTGCATCCACTGCTCTGTTCCACTGGTACGTTACTCTGTGCAGGCCTCTGGACTCTGTGCAAGTCACCGTGTGTTCCGTCTTCTGTTTAGATGTCCCCTCAAAGCCTCGTGCTTTTTCAGAGGTGGCTGAATCTAGAGCGTGTGACTGTTTCACGGTGGGGCTAGGCCTGAGAGCGCTGGGATTAAGGGTGTGAGTGCTGCCCACCCTAAGTAGCCTGCATAAGACAAAAGGGACAGGAAGAACTGTGGTTCCCTTGTTGCTTTTCCTGCCTTCTGCTGCTGCCCTCGGCCATGTGCCCCCTGCCTTGGAGCCAGCCAAGCATGGACTGAAACCTCCACAAACTGTGAGCTAAATAAACTCTTTCCTCTTTAACTTTGGGTGTTGGGTATTTTGTCTCAGCAGCAAGAGAAAAATAACTAATGCACTATGCATCCGCAGGTTTGAGCTGCCTTCCCATGCAGTGAGTCAGGGCTCAGGGAGAGAGCACTGCTTGCCACCTCCTCCTTCTTCACTGAAGTCTCTGTCCTCTCCCCCATGGGCCTCAATTCTCACTTCAGATCCTCGCTGGGTCCCGGGGCCCCACTTTTCTCCTTCTCTTCCTCACGCTGCTCTGTTCCCGTGCCTGGACACCAAATCTCCCAGAGTCTGTGTCTCTGCTGTTCACCACTCTGCCATCTTCTGGATGTATTTCAAAGCGTGAGAATTCAGAGGGCCGGGGATGTAGCTCAGTGGCACCGCGCCTGCCTCACAAGCACAAGGTCGTGAGTTTGATCCCCGGTACCAAAAAAATATATATATATATATATATATATGAATTCAAAAAAAAATCAGAAGGACTTTTGTTTTTCTTGCCTACTTTTCTAGCTACGACTTCCACTACAATGTTGATAGAAGTGGCAAGAGCAGAGGTCCTTGTCTGGTTCATGACCTTAGGGATAAAGATCAAAATTTTTCACTGCTAAGTATAATGTTAGCTGTGGTGTGTGTGTGTGTGTGTGTGTGTGTGTGTGTGTGTGTGTGTGTGCGCCCTTTATCAATTAAGGAACTCCCCCTTGATTCTCAGTATGGTGCTTTTATCATGAAAAGGTGTTGGATTTTGTGAAACCTTGTGTCTGTGTTCCTGGAGATGATGGTGTGTGGACTTCACTTTTTATTAACATGGTGTATCACAATGGTTGATCTTCATATGTTGAAGAATCGCTGAATTGCTGAGATAAATCCCATTTGGCCACTAGCACAATCCTCTTTATATACTCTTGGTTTAGTCTGCTAGTATCGTACTGAAGATTTTTACATCTGTACACAGAATGGTGGTCTACAGTTTTCTTTTCTTCTTCTTTCCTTCTTTTCTTTTCTTTCTTTCTTTTTAGAATTTCTAGTAGCTTCATTAAAAAACCTGTTGAGGGCCGGGGGTTTAGCTCAGTGGTTCCGGCCTCTGCCTTGCAAGCACAAGGTCCTGAGTTTGATCCCCAGTACCAAAAAAAAAACCTGTTGAGTTTGGAAAGCTGATAGAACCTGGGTCTGAACCATATACATGAGATCGCGGTGGTTCTGTAGCCTTGTGGTCTGTTTTTGCTGACCTCAGCTTTTCTCTTTGTGCCTAGGAGCCTGACCATCTTTTCCCCAGAGTTGCAGCATGGAGATAGAAAGTTGCCTAGAGGTGCTTAGAAACAGTGAAGTCCAGCGTGGGGGCACTGCAGTGCTGACACTGTCTCCTGGCCCGCCTATCCGAGCATGAGCATGTAAGGTTACCACCGAGCGAAATGGTGGCTGAGGAGCAGAAGTCCTCTGAATGCAGGCATCCCAGGTCCAGGTCCCACCAGAGCCTTCTGGGTCCCCGCCAGAGAGCCCTGACAAGGACTCTTGGTGAGGACCTTGAGACCAAGCCACAAAAAATCCCCCCAGCCCTGCAGCCTCCACCAGAGCCTCTGCTTTGCAGACACAGCTAGGCCTGGGGCACCCTCAGCCAGCCCCAGGAGCGGGCTGGACAGTGGCTGAGACTGGAGAGACACAGGGGCAGATCACGGAAGGCCGGCACAGGAGCAATTCCGGGCTGTCTGGCAGGGCAGCCAGAGCTCCAGGGCCAAGGGGTCAGCCCAGAGTCAGAACTGCCTGCAAGCTCTTGCTGCTTCCTGCTCTGCCCACATGGAAGTAAACCAGAGCTTCACCCTGTGAAGATCCAGTTGCACCCTGGGAAATCTGAACCTCCAACTTCTTTGAGCTTTTCTTTGGTTGAAATAAGAATCCATCAAAGCCCACGGCTGGACCTCTTTTTGGCTGAAGCAGCTTTATTTCCCGGGGCTGTGAACTCCCGAAGGACCCTCTTCGTCATCTTGTTCGTAGGACAACTGGCCTGCTGCATGGGGCTCTCAAAAGAGCTTCTTTTCTTCCTCTAGAGGCCTCCTTTCTGGCATGTTGTAAGATGCTTTAACACAGTTTTTATGTATCCCAGGTGGCGATCTGCTTGAACTTTCAGAACGTGTGTGACTCTTGCTTTGGAGGCATGAACGGAAGCTTCTGTAACCCCACCAGTATCGCATTAGGGATGCCCTTGAAATATTAAAGGCCGGTCCTTGATAAACCTGTCCAGTGAGATGGAGGGTTTTAGCTCCCAGGAGTCAGTGTTAGAGATGGGAGAGAATTCTCAGGAGTATGCAGTGATGTCCACTGCGACGTCCACAGAGTCAGTGGCCTTTGTTTCCCAAACCAGGAATTGAATTGGCTGAAAGGGAGAAGTGGGGAGTCAGCGTCAGCGTCACAAGAGGTAGGTAACAGGCCTTTCTCCACTCTGCCAGCCTCTGCTCTGCCCTCTGCTCTGAAGCCACTCTCTCTCCCCTTGTCCCACAGTGCAGCCCGGCTGTGGTTGTGAGCGGCAGGGCCCGCGGCAGCGGCTTGGGCAGCACAGTTCTCCAGGAGCCGCCCTGCCTCTGCTGGCTCCTGGGCTCCTGTGAGCAGCTCAGCTGTGCTTGACTATTAATCAGTCTATCGCGGTATTTATAATAGGTCTATTTAGGCTGATCAAAAAATATGGCAGATGTTTATATTAAAAATATTTACAGGTGTGGTGGGACAGGCCTGTAATCCCAGGACTCGAGAGGCTGAGGCAGGAGGATCAAGCTGTGAGGTCAAGGCCAGCCTGAACTACCTACCCAGTGAGACCCTGTCTCAAAAAACAAACAACAACAACAAAAAATTACAATAAAAGGGCCGGGGATTTAGCTCAGTGGTTTCGATGCCTGCTGCGCAAGCAAGCGCAAGGACCTGAGTTCGATCCCCAGTACAAAAAAAAAAATTACAATAAAAGCCACACTGCCATTAATCCCTCTCAAGATATCCCCTCGGAACACACTTACAGCATCATTCTTGCCACCTTCTGAAGCAGTTCTGGAAGTCTTCTTTTGGGAGCGTCTTTACAGAGCATGATCCAAACTACAGGGAATGCTACTGCTGCGTGCTGCTTAACAGAAAGACAAGCTCATAAAGACAGAACAGTGCATCCTCATCTACTTTATCCACAGGGTCTGGCACCATGTAGCTTCTGGCTCTTCCCCAAAGTCAAAATGACCATGAAAGGTCAATGTTTTGGATTGATTCAGGAAACTGAGGCGGCCAGGACAGTGCAACTAAAGACATTCAGGAGAGAGGGGTCCAGAAGAGCTTCAGAAAGAGGAGGAAGGATGGGAGAAGTGAGTCTAGGGGTTGAGGGGAGTTAATGCCATGTGTTCTATTTGTTAGGAGTGTGCCACTAAATCCAGCCCACATTCAAAGGGAGGGGAATGACGCTTGTTTACACTGTGGAGGAAGACATATCAAAGCATTTTTAAACATATGTTATAAACAAGATAGAAAAAAAATTTTAAAAACAAGATACAGATGCTTCTCAACTTAGAGTGGGGTTATATCCTGACAAATACATCACAAATTGAAAACATTGTAAGTTAAAATACATTTCATGGGGGCCAGGGATTCAGCTCAGTGGTTCTACTGCCTGCCTTGCAAACACAAGGACCAGAGTTCAATCCCTGGCACCAAAAAAAAAAAAAAATACATTTCATACACCTAACTTAGCTCTCCATTACCATAACTAAATGAGGCAATTGTCTTGTAGAAAGAAAAGTCTTAGGTTTTTTTTTTCACAATTCTGGAAGTCCCAGCCCCAGATCAGGCACTGTTCCCTGGGCCTTGGGTGAGGGCTCTGGATGGTGACAGCAGGGAGCTCACAGTGGAGCAGAGAGCTCGAACCATGAGGCAGGAAGGAGAGAGACACATGACAGACAGACAGACAGACACTGGGCCCCTCAACCCTGAGGGAGCCTCAGTAATCTAAGGACCTCCCACGAGGTCCTACACCCTAAAAGTCCACACTACCTCTCACCAGCGTCACCTTGAGGATCACACGGGTCTTTGGGGGAGGTTACCCAGGCCATAGCACCCACAAACCCCACCGCAGGGCAGCGCAGGGCATGGGCTCTCCTTCCCTCTCCTGAGCCCTGTGAGCATGCAGGGAGCTCTTAGCACTGACTGCAGTCTGGCAGAGAGCAGGAGTCAGAGCCTGATTCCGGCCGAGTGCCTAGCACTTTCACACCGTTGAAGTCTGGAGTCCAAAGATCACAAGGTGAGTCACCGAGTCCGGAAGCGCCTGGGTCTGTAGGTTTCTGAGCCTGTCCTCTGCGCTCCTCTGAGGTCGGGTACGAAGCTCGGCCTTGCCGGTTCGCCTTCCCGGCAGCAGTCAGAACTGTGCTTACTTCTTTTTATGCACCTTTTATTTTACTCTTTATGTATAATTTGGGTTTCTCATATAAGAGAAACCATGTGCTATTTAAATTTGTGTGACTGATTTATTTATTTTTTGGTACCAGGGATTGAACTCGGGTCTTTGCACTTGCGTAGCAGGCGGCGAAACCACTGAGCTAAATCCCCGGCCCTTATTTTTTATTTTGAGACTAAAGCAGAACTTAAAAGGAAATCGGCTCTCCTAGCTGAAAGCAGTCAGCAGCTCCCACACTTTCTGTTAACTACTGACCCCCGTACTGACAGACAGGCATCTTCCTGCAAATGGTGTTTTGTAACCCCAGGAACCACATGCTCTGCAAACAACTATGTTCTGTAAACAGAGTTTATGACGCTCTGTTCCCCTATGATCAGTAAGACACTATCTTCCTACAAGGCTAATCACTGAACTGCCTGCCCTGTCCTGCTCCAGTGAACTCGCTTACTGGGTCACTAGAAAGACCATTCCCTTTGACTAAATGTATAATAAAAGCCAAAACTTTTCCTTATTCAATCACCAATCACGCAGTCTTTTGGACAGGAGTCCATCTGAGTCAAAGTGCACCAATAAATGCTCTTAATTCCTGTTTGGTCTCTCTCTCTCTTTTTTTTTTTTTGGTACCGGGATCGAATTCGGATCCTTGCGCTTTCGAGGCAGGTGGCAGAACCACTGAGCTAAATTCCCGGCTCCCCCCCACCCTTTGGTCTCTTGTCCTTTTGTAATTCTGCAACAAGACAGGGTGCTGCTAAATTACCCGGGGTGGGCTCAAACTTCCCTATTTATTCTACTTTCTTTCTTGTGCTATGAGATGCTCCAGACTCATCTTGTATTATTCTGTCCTCAGTCACAGTCACAAACCTTATGTTTTTTGTCTTTTGGTTGTTTTTGTTTTGTTTTGAGACATGGTCTCATTATGTAACCCAGGTTGGCCTTGAACCTGCAACCCTCCTGCCCAAGCCTCTCAAATGCTGGATTACAGGTGTGTGGCACACCCAGCTTTGCCTTGTGATTTTAAGGAGGCTTTCAAATACGCAGCCTCTGAAAGTGGGAGAGGGAACCCTTGGGACAGGGGTTGAGCACTTCCTCTTGGTGGAGAGACAACTCATGAAGCAGAGAACACGGCTCAAGGTCTTGAGTTAGAATCCTAGATTTGGGGCCTGGGATTTAGCTCAGTGGTTCTGCCCCCTGCCTCAAAACCACAAAGTCCAGAGTTCGATCCCCGGTACTAAAAAAAAAAAAAAAAGAAGAAGAAACCTAGATTTATGGCTTCCTGGATCTCTCTCTGTCTCTGTCTCTTCCCTCCATGCCAGGATCCTGTTCTGGGAACTGGGATGCTGATACACTCCCTCCCTCCCGCTGTCTTCACTTTCTTCCCCTGAGCCCACCTTTTCCCCCCCAGCCTGTGTTTCTGGCCCAGCAGGGGTCCCCTGTGGCCTGAGGGGGAGAACCATGGAGTCTGAGTCCCAGCATGCCTTGCGACAGGCTGCACGGGCCCAGCTCACAGGAACAGAAGCCACCTGAGGACTCCCTCGAGCCCTCCCTCCGAGGACAGCTCCCTGCCTGCATTTCCTGCCGCCGTCCACCCGTCCACCTGAGGGGCAGGGGCTTGCTCTGCCTTTCACGTGTACAACCCACCCCCTCTCCGCAGTGCCTTCCAGGTTGCCGTCATCAACCTTGGATGTGAGCCTAACACACATGTTCCTCTTCGTAACACACACTTCTATGCATTTCCAGGAGGTTGCTACTGGCAACCTTCGTCACTGTACTTTATTTGGTGGGTTTTTTATCATTTTATTAGAGCTCCATTTCCAGGTTGGAGACACTTGGCCCTTGCCTCTGATGTGCATTAGCTGTGTGAGAGGCAGTGAACTGAACCAGACATGGGACTGGGCCCCAAGGAGCCCACACATCTACAGCAGGGGTAAGAGAACCACAGATTCTCAAGGGCCTCAGATGCTTCAAGGCACATGGGTCTTGTTCAGCAGGTAGGGAAGGCTTCTGATGAAGACAGTGACAAATCCATCCTGAGTAAGGGAGGAGGTTTAAATGCTTGAACCTGGAGACACGGGGGCGGGGGGGGGGCAGAGAGAAGCTTTTGGTATGACTCGGAGAGAAATTACACACATTAATGATGCTAAAAAGGAAAGAAATGGACAGAAACTGCCCAGGGGAAAGAAGTCAGAGAACATGGTCAATTAAGAATCATGACTTGGGGGCTGGGGATTTAGCTGAGCGGTTCCACTGCCTGCCTCGAAAGCACAAGGACCAGAGTTCCATCCCTGGTACCAAAAAAAAAAAAAAAGAATCATGATTTGGCCAGGCGTGGTGGCACACACCTGTAATCCTAGCACTTGGGAGGCTGAGACAGGAGGATCACTGTGAGTTCAAGGCCAGCCTGGGCTACATGAGTTCGAGGCCAGCCTGAACTGCATAGTGAGACCCTGTCTCAAAAAACAAAAAAATCATGGCATAACCTTTGGGATTATCTGGGGCAACTCATTCACAGTTTTTGTTTTTGAGACAGGGTCTCACTATGTAGTTCAGGCTGGCCTCGAACTCACGGTGATCCTCCTGTTTCGGCTTCCTGAGGGCTGGGATTACAGGTGAGCGCCACCACACTCAGCATCGCTCACACTTTAGACGAGGACAGAGAAGACACGGATGACACTGCATTTCTTGACCAGACTAGCTAGGGCGGCTCCGGGCTGCGCTGCAGTAGCAATCAGACACCAGAGTGACCAGGGCTTTACCCCAGGAGGGATACTTCCCTCTCATGAAAGAACAAGAGGGATCCAGCCGACAGCTTGACTCAGGCATTCCAGAAAGGAAAGGGCGCCTCCTGCAGCCCAGCCAGGGTTATGCGCGTTCCAACCTACCAGCAGGAGAGACGGAGCTGTGGTGGGGTGGGGAGTGAGAGGTTCATGTGGTGTGAGCGCTCCCACCGCCAGCCCTCTCCCTATCGCTCACTGGAAGTCGGTGCCGCCCCGCAGATTTGCTACCACCGTGTGCCCAGTGCTCTCAACGTCTTCCTGTTACTGCATACTTGGCAGAAGAACTGAAAACAGATTTGCAGTCTTAGAGAAACTTATTCCAAAACTATAAGTAGGCAGCTTCACAGAAGCTGAGAATATCCCAAGCAGCTCCAAACATGTAGCACCATATGGCGAGTACTGGTGTCAGCTAAAAGGTACGTGCAGAAACGCCGGCATAGCACACGTTCTCGACATACGTGCCTCTGGCCCAGGGTCCGTGACGTCACAGAGGTGGACGCAGACCACAGGGCTAAAGTGCAGTCAACA